TGTTAAGCAATGTTTTTCTCCTGCCTTTTTCCTTTTTGCATATTGCCTATCCAACAGGCAAAGTAATTTTCATTTTACGATTAGAAATACTTTTATGCATCAGAAAATATTCAAATTTCACATGCTCGCCCTTTCAGCCATGGAAGCATTATAATGTGACAGTCAATCCCACTATTCATTGGTAAAAAGTATCCCAAGAGTTGGTGGTCAGTGGTGATTACTAGCTGCCTTCCCTCTAGTCTTACGCTGCTAAATTAGGGACGGCTAGCACAGATAGCTCTCGTGTAGCTTTGCACGAAATTCAAACCCGCAACCTGCAGATTGCAAGTCGAGTGCCTTAACCACCTGGCTATGATAGGCCATGTAGGGGGGTTAATGACACTTGGATCTTGTCCAGAAGATAATGGAACCATTAATGAAGATGCCATAGATCAATTAAGACTTATGAGTGATATGATAATAACAACAAATAGAAATAATATATGTAATCTAGATATTATATAATTATAGTGCAATCCACAAACATGAGTAATTTATGCATTTATTTACTTTTTATTTATAATTTTAATATATAGCTCCAGTTTTTGACATTACTTCAAAAGTTTGGTAAAACACTTATTCTTTTAGATTTTAAAATTTTCCTTTTTGATATAATACACTTTTATACAATAATTTCATATTCATCACACATTAATTCATCATCTACAACTATGTAGCTTTGTACAAGATATGTGTAAAAGATTTATTGTGTTTAATACCTACCAAAAACTTCTAAGAATTTTGTTCCTCCTTCCCAATTACAAATGTCATTCAAGTGAATAACCTCCATTGAGAATAGATGGTGATGTTTGAACAAGACATTCATCAATTCAATAAATAGGTCATTAGGGCCAAACACTTCAGCTTTATTCACAAATAACAATGTTTTTCCTTCCTTCAAAATATAAAATAAACAAAATTTCATTATTTGCTAAATTATTATTTATATTGTCATAATCATCTTAAATTAAAAAATATGTATATATGGAATTGCATGACAGTGAGTTTACTTTTATGTACTAATATATGGTGTGTTCATTATGGTTGTACACATTTTCAAACAAAATAATATTTTAAACGAAGAAAGATACAAACATGTAGATTGTGTATTTTAATCTAAAAACTCCTAAGTTTTATTGCATCTGATGAGTTTTTACCTAAATTAAGACTCAAAAGTTTTATCAACATATAGTGTCAAATCGTGACCGTTCACCAAGTATTGCATTTCTTTAACAGACAAATAATAATTATGCATCCTTCAGTTGTATTACTATATCCAGTGATGCAATAATCCATGTGTTTGGAAAAATCAGCAGCCATGAATATAAAATCTGGGGATTGTTTTGCTTTGAATTTTGCACAAAGCTACACAAGAGTTATCTGTGTTGCTGTCCCTAATTTAGCAGTGACAGACTAGAAGGAAGGCAGCTAATAAAAACCACCAACTGTCAACTCTTGGGATATTTTTTTACCAATGTATAGTAGTATTGACCATCACTTTATAATGCCCCATGGCTGAAAGGGCAAGACTGTGAGTCGAATGCTCTAACCACCAGGCCTAAATCTGGAGAGATAAGAATCCACAAACTATTCAAGTGTGTGTGTGTGTGTGTTTTTGATACTTGCCAGAATCCAATATTTGATTCACTGTTATAGATTAAAAGATTTAGAGTTCTCTTCCAAGAGAAAACAGTTGCTGGTTTCATATGCCTAAACATGAAGGAGTGCTTCTTTATCTTCTCAGGCCTAGCATGGCCAGGTGGTTAGGGCACTCAACTCACAATCTGACAGTTGCGGGTTCTAATTCCCATCCCACCAAACATGCTCGCTCTTTCA